CATGCCTGAGCCCCGCTGTTGACTGGCAGAGGCTCCGGGATAGACCAGTCGATCACGATTGACCAGTTGGTGACCACGGTTTTATAAATTGCTCTAGTAGCTTCCCAGGTATAAAGGTCAGGCTGACTGATCTATCGTTCCTGGGTCTCTCCTTTTTAAAGATGGGCACCACATTAGCCCTTCTCCAGTCTTCTGGGATCTCTCCTGTCATCCGTGAATTTGCAAATATTATTGTCAGCTAATTCCTTCAACACCCTGGGGTGAATAGCATCAGGCCCTGCTGAGCTGAATTCATTAAAATTAGTAAGAGGGTCTTTGACATGTTCTTTACTTATCCTAATCTGCATCTCTTCCCCTTTATTGTCTATGGTAACTTTGCTAGTCATCCAGTCACATGTTATTTTCTGTGAGGAGACAGAAGCAAAGTAGGCCTTGAGCGCTTTTCCTCACTATCCTCTTCTGTTACCAGCTCACCTTCACTGAGGAGCAGACACACACAATCCTTGACCTATCTTATTTGTCTGATGTATTTGAAGAACCCCTTCTTCTTGTCACTACTATTCCTTCCCAGCTATAACTCATTCTTTGCCTTGGCTTTCCTGATTTTGTCCCTACATATTCGCGCTATTCAGAGGACACCATTTTGTAGAACAGTTGTTCTGGGAAGGCAGACACATTCAGAGGCCAAATGGAATTGTCCTGCGGGCTGGATCCCACCTGTGGGCCGCTAACTGGAGCACCATAAGTGAGGTGTATCAGGTCATCTGCTTAGGCATTGAAGCCCCTCTCTTCTCCCCACCCCTCTCCTCAGCATTTCACTGATGGCTGGTGTAGACAGCTCCCCATTCAGCTGACCAGCTTCTGAAAATCCTTCTGTAGGCACCTAAATCTCCCCACACATTGCAGGGGAGCTTGGGTGCCTCACTCAGGATTGAAAATCCCACTAAATAGCAGGGCTGTAAAGGTTAGCCATTGCAAACCTAGTGATAAAATGCCTAAGTACCTGTAAGGATCTGGATTTAAAATCTCTGTGC